AATTGTTATTAATGAAGACAGTATGTTACTTCCTCAGGCAAAGTTGAACTTAGACAGATTTGGCTATTTTTCAGGTCCTGTCTCGACATATAGCTCTTCAACTGTTTGGTTCTTATAAATCCTTGGCTTTCAAATATTTGGCTTTGAGCATTCCTGATGAAGGGTAATCCGGAAAAGGGCTTCAGACACATAAAATTTATAACAATTTGTTTTCACTTTTTGGACTGAATATCTTAACAGTTTTTTGGCATATTTGAGATGCTGTCCCATAAAGTATATTCCACATCTCTTAAAAAGTTGTTTAGATAGTTGTCTCATCTACTTAAACCATTATTTTCTTTATCTTGGTCTTCCCCCCATCAAAAGGAATTCTTTTTCAATTTTTAACACTGAGGTTGTCAGTTCTAAACCCAATTAAAGGGAATTCATTCCCCTTTGATCTTAATTGACTAGGGTTGCCAGTTTTTTTACTGAAGGTCCATGGTTCTCTCCAGGAACTCTGGCTTGCTTGACAAATTAAAACAGGCCACCATGAAATAACCAAGAGTGCTGACAGTGGTGTTTAACACCAATAATCTTTGTAAAATAGTGTTACCAGCAGAAGATTTATTCATCAAATTTCTCATCAATGATTGTCAATGTTTGTGAATATTTTTTTCCTTTAAGGAACTTTTGTAGTCTATACACACAAAAAGTTGACAAAAGAACACAAGTTTGGTCACTTCAAAGCAAATGTTTGGCAAGAAAAATAAACAAAGGCAGATATATTCATGTAGTCATACATAATGCATCCTGCTCACAAATTAAAAATATTTACTCTTGTCAACCTAAATGTCTCCTTAGTTTCAAATTTTGAGCAAAAAAATTATCTGTTTGATGATAATATCATGTTGATTTGTATTTGTTTTGTATCATGTTTTGTTTTCTTTATATTTAGTTAACATTATTAAATCCTTGCACTTAGTTCTCTGGTAGATACTTGTCACATTCAGGCAATCATACTCGTATTGATCGTTCGTATTTTCAAAAGGATGAGATTCATCATTCTTAATCATTATTGACTACATTTCTCTATCAATATGGTAAAAATATACAAACCTGCGAAACAAAAGTCTTGAAATTCAAAATCTGTGGTGATGAGGTGATGGTCATGTGATATATAGGTGAGAGGCACATGTCATTCATATGAGTACAGGTAAAATGGTGGCCCTGTTAAATTCTAGTAAGGTGACAACATAAAATACACAACACACATGTAAACATGTAACTGTATTACACACATAGACACAGAAATCTGCAATAATCATTGATAATTGTCAATAATATTCTTATAATTTAAATTACCTGAATATTTAAATATAAAGATGGATAATAATTTACAAAATCTGTAGGCTCTGAAGATGTATCATATTCATATATTAGTTATATGCATCTTACACAGTTGAACATGTCACTTATTTTTTCTTTAGTATGATATCATGATCTTAATTTCATCTTGAACAAGAATGTTTGGCTGCAATGACAAAGATGTAGGGAATTTTTAGAATAGTCAACATTAAACTAGACCTTAACTGGCAAAACAATGCATTGCCTTTGGACAAAATTTTAAAATCCAAATTTTATAAAATCTCCAATCACATTGTTGGTGAAATGTCAAATAATAATCAAATGAAAATAAGTCACTTCATGAATAATAAATTTCTTTAAATCTTTAATTTTTTTTAACAAAATGAAGGGATTTGTCAAGAGTCCTAACAACCATGAAAAACTGCAGCCAACAAGGTTGTTCAAGGTCAAAATTTGTAAATATCACATCAACCATGCAGTGAATTCATTTGCCACTGTGGTCAGGGAAAAAGTACAATATCAATCTTACAGATGGAAAAAATTTAAATAACAAAAAATAGTAAAAATAAAAAGCAGCATGCAAACTAAGATTTTTTTGCTATCTGACTAATTTTGGCATTATATGACTCCCTGAACCAGCGACTTGAAAAACTACATGCTTGCGTGCTTTTACATTACAGCAGTTTTTCAGTTGAGTGATTTGCGAAGTTCAGCTTTTCACAAAACATATTCATAATCCCCCTTTTTATAGAAATACTTTGAGGAAGAAACAGCAGGTGGGGAATATAAATTCTATGGAAGTTCAAATTTCTGTACTCAAATAAAAATTTATAAAATGAATGAAAGAAATTGTATATGTCATCGAATTTATTCAAGGTAATGTTAGGGTTCCATGAAAGGAATATATTCTAAAGTTGATTTCTTGTTTATGCTAAAGGAGATAGGTTCTACCACTACAGCAATTATTGATTAATGTTAATTTGAAAATTAAAACTATACCGTAATGAGTGAACAATTAAGGGTATTGTTGTTGAGTGTAAACTCACTTTAAGATCAGATTATTTATCAGTATTGCTGAAAAAGGGACACAACTCTTATTAAATGGAATGTTTATTTTGTGAAAAGCAGGAATAGCAAAATCTTCTATAACTCGATCACTGATTAAGCTGTGACTATATATAATAATTGTAAAATCTATAATTAGGTAACAAGACTTGTTTTCCCTGACCACAGGGCAAACATTTAATGTGACACAGGAAGTGAACTTAAATGGGGATAACTCAATAATCACCATTTGTATCATCTTTGTCCAGAATATTTATCCTGGCATCTGGTAAATTGAGAATAATTGTTAAACATTTTAGGAAAAAATAAATAAATAAAACAATAAACTACTATATTCTATAATCACCTATGATTCATTTTCAACCTTTTCAAGAAATCAAAACACTAATGATGTTTTAGAAATATACGGTATTGAAAAGTTTTGAATGTTTTTTTTAAATTCATACACCCACTTTAGCAGTCTAAATGCTTAACATCTACTGACAAATGTTTCATGTATTTTCAGGACAGTGGGGACTTGTTTGACACAATGTTATAAATATGATCAAAGCAAAAATATGTGTCGATGGCCCACTCACAATGTCACATTTTTATGTTCAGTAAACTGAATTCTGGGTTAAAAAAGACAAGAATGTGTCCATAGTACACGGATTCCCCACTCACACTATCATTTTCTATGTTCAGTGGACCATGGAATTTGGGTCAAAACTCTAATTTGGCATTAAAATTAGAAAGATATATCATAGGGAACATGTGTACTAAGTTTCAAGTTGATTAGACTGCAACTACATCAAAAACTACCTTGACCAAAAACTTTAACCTGAAGCAGGACAGACGGACGAACGAACGAACGAACGAACGAATGAACGGACACACAGACAGAAAAACTTAATGCCCATAAATGGGGCATAAAAAGTTCTGCATCAACTTTTAAAATCTCAATTCATAATAAACGTGTACTAATTTAAAATTTTCTGAGACCACAGACTACCTTTAACCAAAACTTTAAGCTGATATATGAGAAGGATGACCAGAAAACATATTGCCCCGTAACTAATTAAGGTGGGGCACATTAGAAAGTTCTTTCTCCCCAAAAGCCGAAAAATTACTTATCTTACCGTTATTACTATCATTGAAACATCCTTTTTTATTCAAGATTGAAAATGAATATAAGTAGTGAAAAATTACATGAAATATGCATTTACAATAATAAACTACTTCTGTATATAAAAACAATAAAAATATAAAATAATAATAACCCTTCTATAGTCAATCATCTGGAATTTAAAAAAAATACAAAGTCATAATTTTTTCAGTTTTTTAATCTATAAAGATCTTATCATGTTAGGGCTATTCCAGAAAAAAACATGAATAGGAGGGGTGAACCTGATATTTTGTTATGTTGGTAAATTCAAATACATTTCTGTTACAAATAAAATAAAAAATTGTGGGTGGTATAACAAAAGTGTTGACCAACCCCAATACATTTTTTCCTGGAATAGCCCTCACCAATCTCTTACAAACATCAAGTTTTATGTTATAAAGATCAAGATTATTTCATATAAAAACAAAAGATCAAGATTACATTTCAGAAAAGGTTTAGAAGTTTTTTTTTAAATTCTGCAATGCTAGCTTAGATTCTATGCTACATGTATATATATCAGATGATCTTTTACAAATTAAAAGTGGATATATGAATTACAGTCAGACAGTATATTTTGAAAAAACTCAGCACTAAAAAGATCTTAAATATTCCTTATTTATTTCCTCTTATTTCATATCATACTTTTTTTTGGTCATGATACTGTTAAGTGGGAAATTTTGGCGAGGGGTTATATTTTCTTGATTAAGATTAAAAAAAATCGAAAACATCCCAATTTTATTTTTAAGCATAATTAGTCAGGGACAAGAAAAATGCTAAATTGAATCTCCACTTTACAGTATGAAAATTTGACACAATATTTCCCAACATTACATATAACTGTACTGAATAACAGATTAAACATACTCAATTATTTTGTGTGACAATTTGTGTACAAAATATTTCATGTCTTTATATACTTAACTCTTAAAATTTGCAAATAAACCATCTAAAAAAATTGTATCCATCTTATTGTAAGTTTGCTACATATTTTCTCAAATGTATACAATTTCCTAGTGAAAAACCATTCTGATAAGACAAATCTTGTGGGCTCATGTGTTTTCTTGTTATGAGACCATTTAATGAAACTTATCTTATGTACTCATGTGCTGTACTGATGTAAGAGCTTTCTAATGAGAGACATATTTGTTTCACGTTGTAAGACAATTTCAATGAGAAAAATCTCATGTCCTATGTCAGTTTATTCTCATGTTAACTCACATATTCTTCTGTTGTAAGACCAAGTAACCAGACAATTGCATGTATTAACCTATTCTATTGTAGACCATTTATAGAGACTATCTCATGCTTTTACTTATTCTTCTGTTGTAGATCTTTCAAATGAGACAAATCTCATGTACTCACCAGTGCCACTATCTAATGAGACAAATCTCATGTACTCGCCTGTGCAACTTTTGATCTAATGAGACAAATCTCATGTACTCACCTGTGCCACTATCTTTCTTACTGCCAGATTCTTCGTCTTCAAAATCATCGTCATAATTATCCTCTGCAAAATAAAACAAAATACACTGAATTTACTTAATCAGCATTTGCATTTCAATAATTCTACATTGCTTGGGCCCTAAACATCATTGAAACATATACATTCAAATATTCCTAAATGTATAAAATAAAATTCTTTGAATTTATTAATTTCTCTCGTTGAGGATACTGTATTAAAATATTTTTTTTTCTCAGTGCTGAATTATTGTACAGTTTTTTCTAACCTATATTTCTTACTGTCTTATCAACTTTTTAAACAATTTTAGAATGAAACCTGCATTAATTACAACAATTGCAAAATATGGCAAAACCAGGAATTATTAAATATCTGTGAAAATTACAATATAAAAATAAGGAGATGTGGTATAATTGCCAATGAGACAACTTATAATCCACCAAAGTTCAAATGAAGTGGATGTAAGCAATTAAAGCTAGGCAACCGTACGGCCTTCAATCCATGAAAATTGGTACACACCAAAAATAAATGATACCACATGCAGTACATTATTATATTATACAGGGGTTCAAATTGACTTTAGGCAATGGAAGGTCCAGGACCTTTGACCAAAAATACTAAAAGGTCCTCCTTTACTTGTAGAAGGTCCAATTTAATTGAAAATCAATTTGTAAAAACAGAATATGCCTACCATTCCAAAGCACTCGTCATATCTTACTACATCAACCTCATTTTTTCAAAATTTCTCAAATAAATTCAGTCAGAAAAGACTTTTCCTTTAACACTATACACTGTGAAAAATTACACTTTGTACATTTATTATTGTTCTGGTTTCAATCGCGCTGCAATCGAGAACACAGCTCGACTTTAATTTGTTATGAAACTTGGAGTCAGTTTCTATTAAACACTGTTTTTTTGGCAAGATAGCTAGATGCTATGTCAGGTAGTTTCATGATTTTTTTGTCTAACAAACCAGGACACTTTTTCTTTCACTGTATGTGGGCTAAACCAGCTGATCGATAAATCGAATCATTGAAAAAAATTTACATTTTCGCTTTTCCCTATCATATTTTTGGTCTTTAGTCAGATCCTGTCTTTCGGGCTGCATTTCATCAATCAGCGTTGCTGTATCACCTGTTCCATCAGGTTATCTTTTGGAAGAGGTCACCCCAAAACCAAAGAGACTAATACCGTTTGCTAGTTATTTTTTAATATTAAATATATTCTCGAGTCTCACGGTATCTTGTACGATGACTAGTCCCTTGACTACATGCACTTCAAATCAATTGTGAAGAATTTAAGCAAACACATAAGTTACTAGATTTTTATATTTTTTGTTCAAAATGCTTGTGTACTTTTTTTAACCTGCAAAAACATGAAAGTCCATCTGGTGTAACTTACTACCAGCAGGAAGGTCCGAACCTGTAAATGGAAGGTCATGGACCTCGGACCACCACTAATTTGAACCCCTGATTATGTTGTGATAATATCATGCAATGTTTAAAATGTAATGGTGAATATCATATATAGTCAAATCGAAAAATGTTCAATCAATAACAATGATAAATATATTCATACTAATCATCCACTCAAGATGATTGATTGTTGTTTACTTAATGCCCTGTAATAAATGTGTCATGCATACTCAAAGCATTATTCTGTTCCATTATAATATTCTAAAACATATATAAGAACAAAAAATATTCCTATCCAAGTTGATATGTCACATTTCAAAGTCAAATTACTGTCCTCTTAAAATTGTTTGAACCTTAAAATGAGTTAACTAAATAAGAAGAATATGTATGTGTCTATTGGATACCACTATCATGACTATCACATGTTCATGTTCAGTGGACAACAAAATCTAGGTCAATTAATGATTCCATTAAAGCAAAAGCAAAATATAAATAATGTTATCAAAATTTAAAGAGTTTCCATTTTTGCAAAACCTATCCTGTCGCAATTTTGGCAATTATAAATAAAATATTGCAAAAATATCTGAATTTCAGTGATTGTATGAAAATGCATTTTCTCTCTTAACACATTGCCAAAATTCTACTCTATATTCAGTAAGAGAACAAATTAACAATTATTATAATTAGTAGGTGCTGTAATGTGGGACCACAGGGATGAAGGGCAGGAGATTTTCTCTTTTACCAGAAAATGATAAAATATTGGATAAGAGCAGAAATCTTGCTGTGAAACAGGGCACCTTAAGACCCCTAAGATAATTGTTGCTTTTGTTCTTAATCATCCAGAGATTGCAGCCCCATGATGCATCAGATTTAACGTCCCTATTTTGACAGGAAATGGCTGGGAACTTATACATCCAGCACTAAGTGGATGGAAGAAGTCCATGGATGACTATATATATACCCCTGTTAATCCTTGTGTGAGGTTAGTTTATTTAGAGATCATGTCCATGTAAAGAATGTAGAATTAGTAGTTCTGTCCATGTCAACCATCACAATCCTATACCTTTTATTTCCATTACTTCTTCAGCTGGGACAACATGAACAACTTTAACAAAATAAATATCTACTGTTAACTAGCAAGATATATGCTCAGATGCCTTACTTATATACAAAAAGTTACAGTTCAGAAACTAACTTTCTCGTTAGTTGAAAATGTATCAGTGCATAACTGTGACTTACGTTTATACAAATTTGAATTAGAGTATTTAGTAAAAATAATACTTTCCTAATATAATTTAAAAAATCATGTTTGGTTTACAGTGTAGGAATTTCACAGTAAAGAGGTGCGAAGAAAAAAAAACAATCAAGCCATCATATACAAATACAGTTGGATCAGGAATTAGGGTTTAATCTATCAGTAGTATTTGTACCCACAAATTTTTTGCATATATTTAATACTATTCTCAATGGTTGTTTTAGGGAAATGAGTGGAGAGGAAGGTTTCTTGAAGGTATAAGGGTAACAAAATTCTTGTTGTATTCCATCTCATAGTTTCATACCTCCCAACTACAACTACTGAATCAAATCAATGGTTAGACGAGGAAGGGTTGCTTCCCCTGACTCACTGTGAGACAAATTAAAGTGATGCATAAATTAATGTTATCTGTAAACAAGAATGTGTCCATAGTACACCGATGCCCAATTCGCGCAATCATTTTCTATGTTCAGTGGACCGTGAAATTGGGGTCAGAACTCTAATTTGGCATTAAAATAAGAAAGATCATATCATAGGGAACATGTGTACTAAGTTTCAGGTTGATTGGACTTCCAACTTCATCAAAAACTACCTTGACCAAAAACTTTAACCTGAAGCGGGACAGACAGACGGATGCACGAAAGAACGGACGCACAGAATAAAAAACATAATGCCCCTGGATGGGGCATAAAAACAATTATTATATTATCCATCTTGTATTTGAAAGGATTTATATTGGCTGAACCTTTATCCAATCCCTTTGTTTAAATATAATTGATTTAAACAAAAAAATCTTTGAATTGAATAAACTATTTCATCTGTTACTGATCTGGGAGATTTTAGTGAAAAACTAATTCTAGACATTTCTTACAAATAAATAAGTCTTGATAACATGTAACTTTTAGCAGAGTATAAGCATGCATATAAAGTCAACATGAATGTATGAGACAACAAAAATGAACTGCATGCAGATAAAAAATTCTAAGGCTACAACAAATTAATAAAGTATGACCATTAAATACTCATCTAATAAATTATCCATTAGAAAATTTTAACGTTCTGTGAGTTTAATTCGGATTAAAAATCTTTACCATGTTTACTTTAAAAATTATGACAAATTCAGTAAATATATTCTTCCTAAAAAGTAAAAACCTATAAATACCAAACTAATTATCTATGAGAAAATTTTAATATACTTTTCACCATTTCAATAAGAATAAACAAAAGTTACTTAAAATAAATAGAGTAAATAAAATTCAAGGTAAAAACAAGTTTATAAATTATTGCCCAAAACACACAAAACAATATATAAAATCAATAACTGGTTGTAGCCTGTCAAAACAACGGAGAAACACGACTAGCATTCCTATAAAGATGAATAATTTTGTACCATTCTGTGTTTTATTTTCATTAATTTTGTTATCACTGCGATCTGAATCTGTGTCAGTTTTAATATAAGCTTTATGAGATCTTGTTATATCATCGTCATCATCATCACGAGCGCCCTCTACTGGTACCTCTACATTGTCTTCTGCTTCCTCTGAAATGGTCCATGTTAGTAACAAAATCTTAGTTAGTTGAAAGCTTTCTTAAAATCAGGATCAATTGGAATCTTGCATTTCTTAACTAGTCATACCTGCATATAAAGGTTACCCTCCTTTCCAGAGAAAACTGATCTTATAAAAGAGGTGACCTTTTGAGGTTCAAAGTGCATAGGTATTGTTACAATTGGACAAGAAGTAAGTGACCTCACCATACAGTATTTAGCATTAAGGAGGTGACCTTCAGAGCAGGTTTGACTGAAAACCACTCATATCATCTAGCTAAGCTAGTGCTGATGAAAAATTAAAGACCACAAATTAGTAACATGTTTCCACACATAAAAAAAACAAAGCTACCATTTTTTTAAAACTGCAGTTATGGAGTTAGTTATATATACTGTAAATTCAGAAATTATTGAGTGCATTCATCATTGCGATTTTTGAAGAACGGATAAAATTGTGAGATTAATTATTGCAATTTCAGGAAAAATACATAGATTTATGTATCCAATTCAGAATGCGAGTTCTTATCATTGTGATACTAACCCAGTCACAATATTCACATTAATAAAAACCTCGTAATAATTTCTGAATTTACAGTACGTCTACATGTAATCTAAAATGTGCAAAAGTGTAGAGATCTTGAAACATCTAATAAACTTATGTGCTTTTTCAAAAGTATGAAAAATGTGCATTTTGAAATGGAAATTCCCTACTACCAGTTTGTTTTGCTAAAATTTCTAAAATGTGTCTTAGAATGTTGTCATTTTAAAGATCATGTGACTATTTACCTTCTTCTTTCTCCTTCCTCTCTGGTCTTATTACAATAATTTCCTCTTTTATCTGTTCTACTTTCTGTTGTCTTCTCTTTGAAGTAGGACGTTTCAATGTACGTGGACTAGCTTGAGCATTCAACTTGCATCTACACAAAAAAATGATCCCAATTAAAATTACTGATATAGAAAATCTTATTTTTATTCAATAATTAGATTAATAAAAGAAGTATGAATATTTGTACTATTCTGTTGAGAAGTTAATTTAATTGTTATCTAAGCACACAAAGTCTCCAGTTATACATATAAACAAGAATATTTGTCCAGAGGATATAATGCCCTCCTCACTCTATCATATAGTATCTAAGAAACAAACTTTACCAGGAAAACTTTGATCAAAGACCATGAAAATGAGGTCAAGGTCAGATGATACCTGCCAGACAGACATACATATAAACCTTACAATCATTTCATACACCAAATATAGTTGACCTATTGCTTACAGTTTAAGAAAAACAAACCAAAACACAAAAACTTAACATTGAGCAACGAACCGTGAAAATGAGGTCAAGGTCAAATATAACCTGCCAGACTGACATGTACATCATAAAATATTTCCATACACCAAATTTAGCTGACCTATTGCATACAATATTAGAAAAACAGACCAAAACACAAAACTTAACCTTAACCACTGAACTGTGAACATGAGGTCAAGGTGAGATGACACCTTACAATCCTTCCAGGTATGGACTTGACCACGAAAACTTAACATTGTTCACTAATACATGAAATGAGGTCGAGGTCAAGAGAAATTTGTCTGACAGGCATGAGGACTGTGCAAGGTATGCACATACTAAATAGTTAGTTATCATATTACTCATAATAAGAGAGAAATCAACATTACAAAAAATTCTTAACTTTTTTTCATATAGTCACTGAACCATGAAAATGAGGTCAAGGACAAAGGACGTATGACAGACGGAAAATTCATAACATAAGACATCTATATACACAGTATGAAGCATCCAGGTCTTCTACCTTCTGAATAATTAAGGTTTTAAGTAGTGAGTTAAAGCCGCCCCCGTCTGATCACTATTCCTATGTCGAGCTTTCTGCGACAGAAGTCACAGGCTCGACAAAAGCCATTGATAATCTATAAATATATGTGATATTCTTACTTGTAGCAAGGTGTAGCACCAGTGATATTTTTCAGACAGAACTGTCCCATTTTACCGCCTAGTCTGACTCCTTTGGCATGGCCATATTCACAACATGTACTGACACGAGCGCTGATCCTGCCATCCACAAATATAGACAGACTGAAAGGATATCCTCTATGTCTTCTAGAAATGAAAGTAAACTCATCTGAAAATAGAAAAATAGAAAATTTACCATGGGGTGTTTAACAAACCTTATAAAGGTCTTGCATGGTCGTTGGAAAATAAAAATCAGATTCAAAACATACCCTTGATCAGAATTAAGCAGCATAGGATTATTTTAAGGTATATATAATCAACGATTTGCCAACTACTGTAAATTCAGAAATTATTGCGTGCATTTATTATTGGAATTTTGTCATTTTAGACTAAAATGCGATCATAATTTTTGCGATATTGAGAAAAATCCTGTTTAATTCATATAAACTGTTATCACAGAGATATGTCTCGCCTTTTTGTAATTTTGATAATGTAAATGTTGAAATTAAAATAGCAATACTTTATCATGTAAGTTATGCAAATATTCAAAGTCAATGAACCATGACTGAAGGTACATGGCTAAACAATCTCCATGCAATGAGATGTGCCAATGCTAATACAACTGCATACCAAATACCACTGACTTATTATAAGTTTTTCCCTTTAAACAAACCTAAACACAAACATTAACTTGTAAACTATGTAAAAGTTTCATAGTCAATGAATCATGATCAGGGGTGGGGCTATATAATCTCCATGGAAACGATATTTGCAAATGCCAATACATTTGCATACCAAATATCATTGACTTAACATTAGCAGTTCATCTTAAACTGATCTAATCACAAACTAATACATGTAAACTAAGCAAAAGTTTCAAAATCAATAGACCATGACTGAGGCGGCAGGGCCAAATATTCTCCATGGAAATGAAATGTGCTAAAGCTTATACAACTGAACACAAATTAACATTGGCCTACCACTAATGGTTCCCCTTGAACTGACCTAATCACAAACTAATAACTGTTAACTTAGCAAAATTTTCAAAGTCTATAGACCATGACTAAGGGGTCGGAGCCAAATAATCTCCATGGAAATGAGATATGCCAATGCTTATACAACTGCATACCAAATATCATTGACCTACCCTAGTGGATCACCATGAACTAGACCTAATCACAAACTAATACATTGTTGATGGCGACGACGCCGGAAACAGCATACCTATGTCTTGCTTTTTGACTCCGTCAAGGCGACGCGAGACAATACAAAATGCGAGTTTAAATTATTGTGATTATAACCCTGTCGCATTTTTTGCAATAATAAAAACATTGCAATAATTTCTGAATCTACAGTAATAGGTAATTTTTAAGTCAGGAACATGTAATTCACTAGTTATCACTGGTTGCTATCTGCAATATATAACTTATTTTTTTTGTTTTTAGCATAAAGTTTGGTGGTATTCCCTTTTGAGTATTTTGAATTTTATCAAGCCAGGGCAGGGCTTCCAAAATTATTTTTAGCCAGCCGGACATTTTATATATTATCCCGATTTTAATCCCTTAAGACTAAATAAATAAAAGGCAATTATGGTTATCAGTTGCCGAGTTGGCTATCCCAATGATTGACATTAAAAAAAAACGATATTAAACTTTCTTTGATTCAAATTCGAAGTTCTGACGTAAACTGTTAAATTGGCAGTGCATCATTCGAAGTGTGCAACATCAGCGTACTTATATCTGCTTAGACTCTTTATTTGTGCAAAATAACGTTGTCAAAAACTTTACTTTCGGTTTTAAATCTAAACCGGATGTTATCTTGACAATGGTAAAACATGGACCAGAGACGGATACGTAAATTCCGTGTACGTTTGCAAAGCATGAATGAGTGTAAGTAGCTTTTTCTACGTTATTTCTTCAAGAAAATATTCGAAATAAACGTGAGTTAAAGGTATCAATGACAATTTAAGCATTTTTTGAAGAAATTAGGATGCATAATTAAATTTCACACCTGCGCACATGCGCACACGTGTACTAGTTCAAACAGAGCCATGTCTCTGGTTCAAACAACGTGGTTATGACGATTTTTCATTTTCACCTTTTTAATTTTTTCATCAAATCATATTTGTAAACGTATTTCTGATAATTTAAATCTTTTTAACTAAATTAATTAGATGCAAACCGCTGAGATGTAAGAAAATAACTTTGAATAGACCGATCAATGTCCGGTTCAAAATAGTTTACCTGTCACCTGAACAGGTAAATTTCAGCTGTTCGACAACTAATTAGCCTTGATTAAAATGAGAAGGTATTAAAGTAGGGGTTGTTTTGATAGTACTTAATGATCATGTCACTTTTATGACCGGAAAAGTGTTGCTGTTAAAGACAAAAGGTTGGGTCAAAAAGATTGTGAAATACGTTAAAATGACCGTCTCTTAAGCCTTGAAAACTAAAAAGTAGATGTCCGTTTCATGCTTTGCCCAGCCAGACTTTTACCGGACATTATACAAATGTCCGGAATATATGACCGTTTTGGCAGCCTTGAGCCAGGGGCCTATATATGGTATGGGTTTTGCTCATTTTGTAGGCCATTCTGTGATCTATAGTTGCTTAATTCTATGTGATTTATTTTCTGTGGGAACGTTTTAGCATTCATACCACATCTTGTTTTTACACCAGAGGAAGACATGCATAGAATATTTGAATACCTCCAGGTTTTATCCTTTCCTTGAAAACAGGAAGTGTATTTCCCCCACAATGCTGTTGTTCTATTTCAACATCCTGTGTAGGGTCTCTCTGGTCTCTTGGCAGTATAAGATTTGGCCCATAATATTTCATTGTCACTTCACAAAGGGTCTGGACCTCTCCTTGGTGCATCATGGCGGGCTCTTGTCTATGAAGCATTAAAGTTCCCTAAAAAGATATACTTCAAAATAAAACATTTCTAGAAATCCAAATTCTACATTGGTTGCCTCTACAGTTATTCCTTTGTAACTCAGTTTCAAAATAAATCAAATTGCACTGGGCGATCTTGGATTTTTTTATAAAAAGAACTTTTAATTTTTGCGATGTTTTTTATCATTTTGAAATTTGAAACTGAGGATTAATTTAAAAAAAAATTAAAACTGGCTTTTTAGAATAAGAAATATAAGTAGCAATATCTGCATGCAGCTTTTCCTTAAATCACAATAATTAATCTCACATTTTTGTTCATTTGTCAAAATTCACAATATTATTATCTTAATATGAATTTTTACCTCACATTATGAATATCACCCAATAATATGTTATTACAATGCATCATCTCTCAACTGTTCTTGGTCACTAATTACAGACTTCGACAGATAACTTGTACTTTTAACATTCCTATTGTTTGTTCAAGGACATCTTTTCATAAATTTAATGGTAATTTAACTTAATTAATGAAATATTAAATACCAATGCATGCATGTCTTTATATAGGAAATAATGCATTCCTTTGTGGCACCAGTCTTCTGAATTTGAACTTTACACATTCATATAACTATATAAGCAGTGCACATTAGGTTTTTGTTGTATATATATGGTGCAAGGATTTATTTCTTATTATAACTATAATCAGTGTAATATAAAGTAAGCAATGTGTCAAGTCTTCAACTTCATTTAAGTTTACCTTCATGGATAATGTTCACAATTTTTTTTAAATTATCAGTTGTGGTTTGCTAAATGATGTCAGCAAGTGTAAAATACTAAATGCAAATAGATAAAGTGAGGGATACTCCCTTTTTCAAGATTTTTTTTAACCCTACGACTAAAATTAATGCATAAAATGGCTTTTTTCTTGATATATGGATATTTTCAAAATAAAATGATCCACTATAGTATATATACAACCTGTTTGAAATATCCAAAATTTATTTATTGTCAGATTTTAAATAAAACCTTAACCAGTGTCATTCATGTGTAAAATGTAAGACAAAGTGACACAATTTAAAGTAGAGTCTGACCAAATTTGGAAGGAAAGATAACACAAATTTTCTTTTATCTTTGCATGCAATTGAAGGTTCTACTGAAAAGATTTCATCACAATCTGACTTGCAGACGAATAGTCCTAACTTTGAACATTAACGTAGGATTTAAGTACAAATATTTAGTCCCTGAAATTGTTAAAAAATGATAATTATTTAATCCTTTTAAGTACTTTTTTTTCTTCATTGATTAACGCAGATTATATCTTTTCTTTATAATAAGCATTAAATATATTTAGATGATGAGAGCGGTAAAGAAGTCAAAGAAAAGTTTACATAATAACTAAATGACTTTTTTATATTTATGTAAAACAATTGTTTCAAGAACCCAGCAAAATTTATAAACCAAATTTATATCTAATTCCATGCCAACTACATTTGCATGATCTAGTTAATATTTCAATTCATGCTAGGTTAATCTATGCATAGATCAATTAAAGATCAATCTATTTATAGAACCATGCCAGATTACTACTATGTATAGTAATCATGCTTTGACCTACATGTACAGATGAACTTTTGTGAGCTTTCTTGTCAGCTAGCTGCCATTTATCTCTGAATTCAAGCTAGAAAAATCACAATCTGCCTTGTAATAATGATACAAGTTTAAAATATGCAGAAATTCTAAGAAAAAATTAAAAATTCAACCATTTTATTCTTATGATTAATCATATATTTTTCTAATGCTCTGTAGCAAAACTTTAGAAGCAATTTTAAAACACATCAACTGAAGACATAAGACTTGGTAATTAACCTCAGGCATATCCCTCTTTAATTCTTTTTACCAGATAAGGTATACACATATTTAGGAGAAAATAAACTAGAGGCTCCTGTCTTGCTATCTATCTTTTGCAGTTTTAACAATATTAGGCAAAAAAGCAAAAAAATTGTTAAAAATTGTTATTTGAGAGAGTCGTCTGTTAATTTGGCCATGCTGACTTATTTGTAGATCTTGTCTTGTTGATCATTTTAAATAATAAAAGTTTCTCTGTATTTATTATAGTTTTCACGAAAATAGGCAAAAAAGAAAATAAATGGTAAAATTTGTCATTTAAGGGCGATATCTCCTAGAAGAAGTCGTCTGACAATTTTGACGTAAATGGACAATAGGTAGAGCTCAAAATTTTGAACATTTTTGCCACTGTCAGATTTTCTCTATTTGTAGCAGTTTTCAAAATAGACAAAACATGCATTTTACCCCTATGTTCTATTTTTAGCCATGTCGGTCATCTTGGTTGTCAGGCAGGGTAATTGGACACATTTTTAAAACTATATACCCCAATGATGATTGTCACCAAGTTTGATTAAATTTGGTCCAGTAGTTTCAAAGGAAAAGATTTTTGTAAAAGTTAACAAACAACAGAAGAAGGACGCCAAGTGATATCGATGAGATGAGTAAATATACTTAATCCTAAAAATTAAATTCTTTAACTGGATAACTCTAAATATATATGTTTGTAACACATAATGCAGATCTGAAATTTGTGTTTTCTTGCAATAAAGAAATAAATTTTTGAAAAGACAAAAGTGTATTGACAAAAATAAAATAATTGCAATTAACCAAAATTTAAAATAATGAAGTGTTTCTAGAAAAATTGTTTAACCTACTTCTACCAGTTTATTTGAGACAGGTTTCTGGTAAACATCTTTACACTTATCTGTTTCCTTAAACTGCAACAATATAAGAAAAGCCTTGAATATTTCTTAGAACAGAAGTTCTTTAAAACACCCCATTGACATGTGTTTTTGATAGAAAAAAATCTTATACAGTTGAACTTCTTTATGTTGAAGTCGAAGGGACCAGACCAAAGTATTCGACTTATCCGAGGTTCGACTCATCTGAGGTAGAGTGTGTCCTCATAAATTTGGAATGCATAAAATACGGTATGAGATTTGTGTAAACTAGATACTTTGAACAGTGTGCCTTTTTTCGATATGACACTTTATGATTGCGCATTCAATCTCCATATTGTTTGGTACTTAATTATGATTAAACATTCAAGTACAGATGCAAATCATGCACAAATAAAATCAATAGTATACACAAATATTTACAAAGGTCAGTCACTATAAATTATGTAATCACTCGCGGAACGAAACAAGTACTAAACTGTCTCTGATGAGGTCGTCTGCTTTACATCAAATTATTATAAATTTATCATAATCGTCATAACTTTATTTATTGTAATTAATGAATTTCCACTCTAACAATTCATTTAATCTCGGCTGGGTCATTTAAATTCGTTTCGTTCTTATTTCAGGTGAAATATATCCAACACACTAACGTTTCGCTTGGACGATCAAACAAGGTGTTCATTACCGGTCACCATAAACATGTCATTTTAACTGTTATACAAACAAGTATGTTTACTCAGCTTTAATCTCTTTTGAAAATGATTAGGTTACATAAGAAATACATCTTTTGAAAATTCTTACTTTCTAACTTCGAGACATCGGGATCAATTCACATTAATTATACATCGACGGGACTATACAGATTCACTCAATTTAACCGAGTATTCGAATCAACCAAGTTCAACTCATCAGAGGTAACTATGCATTGATCAAACAGGAATTTTACCGGGACCGAGAAATTACTTCGACTCATCCAAGTTTTCGACACAACGGAGTTCGACACAACGAGGTTCGACTGTATCAGTAGCTTCCTAGAAATGTTATCTGATCTCTTAAAATTAAAACTTTTTTCATGTGATGAAAGAATATCTGAATTTGACTGGATCTTACTGGTTCTGAATAAACAAGCTGTACTCTGCACAGAAATTTCTCAATACTCATAGTATCCTAGTTATAGGAAAGGGAGATAATTACCTGTACAGCTCCAGTCCTAGTACTTCTGTAAGGACTCAAGCTATTGGCTGTTCTGGGTCTTTGTAGGCGGGACTTGTACCTAGCATCCCTGTAGTTGTTTCTGGCACTTCCTCTAGCACTTCTTGGAGGAGAAGGAACTTGTGAAATCAAATATGGAGATGTCATTCCTTCACCTTGTTCTATTTTTGACAATGTTAAAGCATATTTTTTCAAAGCAGCAGAGTCCAGCTAAAATGAAAACAAAATACAGGTAAAAATTTTAAACATGTGTAAAAACACCTTTCATTAACATTTTCTAAATGTTTCTTTGAATTCTCAGAGGTGGATTTAGGGGGGAGGCCCCGGGTGCCTGGGCCCCCTTTTGTGGGAAAAATTTGGTTGAATATTTAGGGAATCACTGAAGCATGACTAAGCGGGCCCCCTCTTATGGCAGTCAGTGGGCCCCCCTTATGAAAATTTCTGGATCCACCACTGATTCTTATTTGAATTCAACCACTTCAAGTTAAAATATAAGAGATTTTCCATTTTTTTAAGGATAGCCCTGGCCTTAACTGTGACTGTCAAATAAATTAAGATTGGTCATATTACAAATACATGTAGATTCAGACACAACTGTCAAGAACTGCTTATAAGTATTATGAATTATTTCGGTACTACAAATAAACTCTTATATGTCTTGCAATTTTTTTGGTCTTAAAGACATAATGACTCAAATCTCCTTTTATTCATAATAATGGCTATGGTAACTTCTAAATAGGATGGGCTTTTGATTACTGTTAGTGTAAACATGCAAAAAATCTACCATTTTGTTTTTGAACAACCATTGAAATGTGATTTTTGCCACTCAAAATACCTACAGCATAAAGATGTCTGGTATCAATTTCCTCTCTTTTATGATCTTCCTGTATATCTTTAGGTGGAGTCACAGGACGACCCTCATCATCAACATATATCACCTAAAATAGTTACATATTATATTATTCACATGAATGTATCCTAGTTGTGTAACAGTTATCTGTGATGACTGTTCCACCAGGTCTCAAATTGGCAGCCAGCCATCAGAAAAATCTTGGACTAATCATTAAGGATGTTTGCTACTCTGTTTCAAAATAACAAGCTTTTTAAAAGACCGTTTTAAATTAATAGTATATATATAAAGGAATTCAAAAAGCAGAACAAAATGAAGCGTCCATGTGCTTGTTTTCGAGATATAAGCCATTGAAAATTTGGGGGGAAATGATTCTCTCTAGATTTTTTGTATAATTAACATTGGCAGCTTTTTTCTTTCAAAAACTATGAAAAAATAACAAGAATTTTATAAGATTTTCAAATATGGCTTTTTAAACTATATCTAATAAAATTATAAAAAGAAAAATAGGGCTTAGTGGGCAAAATCTTTAATGGCAATACATGGATAAACCCAGAGGATTTCGAATATCTGACAAAAAATCAAAAACAAGAGGAGCGAACATCCGTAAATTGATTATCTTTGAAAACTATTAGTGATGCTAAAGTCCAATTACGTTTTTATAATTAAAATGAACTTTTTCAGATAATTTGAACATACGTTTTTTTAATTAGATAATTTTTGAGTATTTATCATTTTATTAATCTAATGTTAGTTACACAAATGTAATTGAGAAATATTAGGCATGTAATACCATTAAGCCTTAACAATTATTTCTTTTTTTATATAAATAACAGATCATAAATTGACTTTACACCTTCAATTATGGATTTTTGTCTGCTTTCCTAAACATTTCAATTAGTTAAATTAGTTAATTCTGAAACATACTAACAAATGAATATATGGTCAATGCAATTTAAGTATTTCAGCTAACCTATAGTTTTAAGAACCTTAGTACCCTAAGATCAGTTTCACTTATATTCTGTTGGATAACCAACTAAAAACATGTGAATACTCACGTCAGCATCATAACTATCATTATATTGTCTGTCTGCCGGGGCACTTTGTGGACGATATCTACCAGATCTACTCTGAGGTCGACTTGACCTTGGTGACAAATAAGGTAATATGTCTTCATCACCTTTCCTGAATTTAGTAGCCTGAGGATTAAAGCAAAACACAAATCCAGTGTTATAGAACACAACAATAGCTTGTTAGTATATGTAGTAAAGTATGTACATAAACTCATTATAGATACATGTATCTGATAAACTATGTACAGACCCTTTCATGGTACGTAACAACAACAAGCAAAGTCCAAAATATCAGTTTTGAGTTGAAAAATTAAATGTTTGTCTTGATAAGTCTGAAAGGCTAAAAATGGTCAAATATGTTATTTTTGTTAAAAAAACAATAAAAAAATCATTTCCATGATTTCATTTACATGTAATATGATAAAATTCCAACTTTAAAATTGATATATATAAAATAGAGTAATTGTTAGGACTATATAATGTTTGGTAAAAAATTCCATTTTCTATCTTTAAATTTGCTTGAAAAGCAAATCTATGCCAATAATAATTCTTTAAAAATAGACAAAAAATTTAAATCAATGACGGTAAAAGACATGTTAATGATTTTAAGGCTGCATAATTATTCCAAATAATGTATACATACAAAAATGTCATTGATATGATTGTACATGTGCATAAAATGCATAAACTTGCATTAACATTCCCATGTACAACATTACCATGAAAGGGTCTTCAACCATATATATTAACACACAAAACACAAAAACACATGTATTTTTTTTTCATGTAAAACATTTGTGAATAAATCTCCACATCACAATGGTTAGAGAAGCTACTACTCATACATATGTAAACATTTACGAATGCAAATTTCATCACTGATTGAGCAACAATACATTTAAACTCAATTCATAGATTAATTCAATTCAAGATTAATTCAATCTGACAACATCACATGGCAATCAACTAACCAAAGACCCTGGAGTAAGAACATTTTCTTCCTCCTGTACAGATTCTGGAGCTGAAGATGGCGGTCGCAATCTTGGGGTCAACAAAGGCATCAGAGTTGAATCACTTCTCCTCTTTGTGTCTGCCTAAGCATCATAAAATAGTTCTCATTTAAATAAGTTTTTTTTTTATTTTCAAAGAAATAAATCTAAATGTTTGTTGCATACATATATATATGCATTTTACCATATAAACTAAGCTTTGATTTGTTTTAATTTTCAAAATCAATATATAACAAACAAAAAATATTAGATATATTTAAATATGGAATGTAAAAAAAGAGAATTACCATAATTCTTAAAAAAAGGAAGCACTGGAAATTACTGACAGTATAATGTAAACTGAAAATTGTGAACATTGAAGAAGTATAACAATGTAAATGAAATAGTGAATAATGAAAATTAAAGAATTGTACATGTACATGTATAAGAAAAATGAGTGCCTGTTTATATCAGGTGTATATGTGGGAGAGACTTACAGTTTTTGGTATCTGATAGGAGAAAGAGATTGAGATAGAACTAGGTACAGAAAACCTTATATTGAAACACTTGGTGATATGTCATTGTGAATGTTGGGGATTTAGGCGATCCAGTATGAAAAAACCTTTGTAACTTTGATTAGTATTACATGACAGGATTGTAAATCAAAGTTTTATCAATATACATAGATCATCATATTTTACAGTAATTTACTCAACACCAGTAACAAATTTGTAGTCTTAAATTATATTAGTGGTCCTAATGACCACCAGGCAGGCTAAAAAAGGTTTTGAGATCTCTGAATTGGCTCAAAATATTTTGAAGGTATATTGTATGTCATGTATGTTGTTATGAACATTAATTAGACTTATAAGTGCTCATTGTTGGGTTTGGCTCAATATATTTTGTAGGTATTAATTATTTGTATGTTGTTCTGTGCATCAAGGAAAACTTTAACTTCTCTTCAAATCAATACAAAAATCAATGTGTTAAATTTCATGGGAGATGTGTTTATCTGACTAATCAACACCTACAGAACTGAAAATGTGTATTTTAATCTTTTTTACAAAACAAATCCAAATAAGTATATTTGTTTAACCACATGATTACGTAAACATATAACTACTGCACAACTGTAAACCAAGAAAGGTAGATTACTTAAAAATCAATATGATATAATATTGGATTTCAGGTAGATCTGTTTTATACCTGGTTGGGGTGTTGTTACATTAATAATTCAGTTATTCTTTATTTTCACAATTAGTTAAGATATGGGTTTACATGATTCAGTCAATATTTATTTATACTCTTTTTCATGTTTAATACAAACATGACAAAGTTATTTCTCTAATTCTTTATGGACAAAGTAATTGGAGTGGAACAAGTAAAAAGTCTGGATTAACCATAAATGTAGCTTCATAAGGGAGGGCCTAGGCACCATGGGCCCTCATAAATCTGCCTCTGATTTAAGAACCTTTTTATCCTGCTCTTCTCTTTCACTGAATACTGAGGTGAGGGTCTGGAGCACGCAAAAGGGGAGGGGGTATCCTCAGTTCAAATTTTTTATTTCTCTATTCTTATCAATGTCCATATCCGGAAAACTTTGGCAACAAGCTCGAAAGTTAATTTTATAGATTCATAAAAAATATTAAAAAAAATGTGCATGAATAAGTATTAGTTATTCTTTATTTTCACAATTATAGCTAAGACATGGGTTAACATGATCCAGTCAATATCTATTTAAACCATTATCTATGTTTTATACAAACATGACAAAGTTTTTTTTTTATTCTTTGTGGTACATGTTGGGTAAAACCATACATGTACATGTAGGTTGATTAAATAGTGAGGTGTGATTCCCTGTCATAATATTGGTTTGAAAATCTTACTTCAGAGTAAGACAATATCTTTCTAGGGGCCCAATTGCAAACTGTCACAATATTAAAGATTAACTTTTATCAATTAATTATATGTGTCCACTTTCAATAATGAGATTTTGAAATTTGAAAATATTTGGCTGAGACTCCTTAGTAAATCAGCATGCTTATTGGGAATTTGTAATCAAATCTACATGTGTACATAAATAAAATAAATGGAGAATGTATCCATGGGCAACAAATGATGCCCCTGCTTGCATATAACATTATAAAGGGACATAACTCAAGAACGGTAAAACTGACACAACCCAAATTCGAATTTGATCTGTGTTTTATGGTAATAAGCAATTGTGTATGATTTTTAAAACATTTGGTTAAGGCAATCTAAAGTTAAAGAACAGAAACTATTTTTGAGACATACATACGGACAAGGGTAACCCCTAATGCACCCTCCGACACAGCGGGGGTTAATAATAAGGAGATGGGGTATGATTGCGAAAGAGACAACTTTCCAACAGAGTTAAAATGATGAAGATATAAACAATTATGAGTCACCGTACAGTCTTCAACAATGAGAAAAACCCATACCATATAGTCAGCTATAAAAGGCCATGACATGAGCGATGTAAAATAACATGAATGAGAAAACTAACAGCCTAATTTATAACAACACAATATACAAAAAACAAAATATGACAGACGACTACTGAATTACAGGCTCCTGGGTTGGGACAGACACATAAAGAACGTGGCAGGGTTAATTATAACCATGTTACAGATTGTAAGAAATATGATATAAACAGACATCAAATGATGAAAGCTTATAAATATTAGATGAACACAATTGAAAATTTAGGGAGAAAGGACAGACAATATCAAATATCCAAAGAAGCAACAGAAAGCTATTTTAATTTTCTAAATTGATGAAAACAAACCAGCACAGGGTTGCAAACTTCAATTTAAGTGAATCTATGTTTAAATTTTAAGTATCAATTATTAATTCTAATGCAATCATTTTGTATCAATGGTTCTGATTGGATGACAACAATTGCATGTAAAATTCTCTTTACCTGTTTGTAGTTAAGGGAATGCTGACATTTTGAATAATGGAATGTACTGACATGTTACATGTATTTCTTCAATAATAAATAAAAAAACTCAAATTTTTATATAATTTCATTACATTCTGAGGCATATAAGGAGCCTGAAAACGCCCGGTGTTTACATTTGATGCCAGAAGCATACATGTGACGTCACCTTGTTTAGTTGCAAAAGATGATACTATCATTACGCAGAATTTTTGTTTTATGCAGTACATTGTATTACACCGAAATAATGACTGAAATGGACTGATTTGTTTATTCTGCATTAGAATAGAGATAACATTATTGTATATGAAACTTGGCCCACATAAAAAAACTTGGTTTTACGTAAGCCAAGCTTCAAATACAATGCAGTTATTTCTCAAATCATAAACAAATTGAACAAAAATTGACTCTTAAATTTAATGTTGTTTTAAAGTGACCTTTGTGCAACCCACTCCTGATGGTTTCATCTCAAATAAAATATTTGACAGACATTAAATGATAAAGTTATCAATTTATCAGGTTTTATCTTTAACAGTTTAAAACTATTAAGAAAATAAATTGAAGCATATTAACAGTTTTCTTGAGTGCTATTATTCTCAAGGATATCTACCGGAGTTTTGTACTCAGACTTTAATTTACTGATTGTGAAATACAATTAGGATGTGAAGAAATTTCACAACAGTCCTATTGAGTTTATCAATATAAAATCAAAGGAGAAGGTTTGAGGGTACCAATATGAAATCTAAAGCAGAACTCAAACCTGGGACGGTCTCATCACAGTGGGTCTCATTTATAGACAGAAAATAAGCAGAATTCATTGACCGCCATCGAGTTGAACAATGACCTTTGTTGTTGAGGGGCAGAAGTTCACAGCTTACTTAATGTTGGTTTCAGAGTGAAATAGAAATGTCTACAGTTTTTTTAAAGATTTGGACGAGTATAATAAATTCCAGTGAAACAGTCTTTCTGGTAAAGTGTCCTGCAGCCAGTTTTTTTTTTAAAGAAAGAAATCTATTCTACATGCGAATGTCAAAATCATTGACAAATCTAAGCCCAATGAAACATCAGAGACATTTAAGCTTACGATGATGACATTACAACCAGCAAAATTGAAAACTAATCTATCTTCCCCTATCACTTACCCTTACTCTCCTTACAACTTCTAGTTTGGCAATTTCTTCTAATTTCCTTTTAATTTCTACTTGTCTGTTCCTCTCAATATCCAATGTTTTATGTACTATGGCCTGTGCCAGTAAATCTTTTACATGTTTTTTGTGTTCCTTCCTAGCCATGTTCAGTCTGTATTGGTTTTCAGATATGATCTGTCCTCTCCTGTCAACCTGTAAATTTGATAAATATCATGTTTTTAGAGAATTTTATTTAATATTCTGACTATTATTCAGCCAAAGCAACGAACTAAAAAGCTGAATAACCAGTATAGTTTATTTGACAGTGGTGAACGAAAATTCTTTGATTACACTAAGCCAAATAGACAGCTATTGTTTAGTTACACACAATGAAGGAATATGATTGCTGAAGATTCAATTTTTCAAATTTTATAGTACGGGGACAGTACTAGTGGTAACAATATTCTTGTGCCCCTTCTTTGTAGAAGGCTTTAAAATGAAATCACATGAACCAAATACATGTATTGGTTTACAAATACTAAAAACAATGTATCATTGACAGGTGGTTGCTTTATGTCGTGTCGCAAATATAATCATGCATATCCAGATCAAGGCTGTCAAATATGTTTTTATATACAATGATTGCAATAAACAAATGTCATGAATGTATACATATAAATAAATAAAAGGTGTTTTTGCCATGAAGTATTTAAATGTGAAGTTGTACTTACCAGACCAGCCTTTTTGAGATGGCGTCGCATTTTGGTATTGGAAAAATACCCTGCCAAATTCTTATCTGTGAGACTACAGTATGTAGCAAGGGGCCTGAAAATAGATGGATTATCTGAATTATAAATTTACTTAGCATTTACATGATGTACACAACATATTGATGAAGGTTACACACACAATAACATTTAAATCACCTAACAACTGATAATATTAATATTTCTTCAAAAAACCCACTTCAATTTTCTTTCAAGTAAAGTCTCCTCTGTACAAAAATTTGTTGAAGGTTAGAGTCTGTCATTGAAAGTGAATGTTTACATATGCTTGGGTATAGAAATATAGCTATTCAGTACTCTCTCTGAGAGGCTGCTGTTTTCACTTTGGCTGACTGTTTTAAGTCCAGTGACAAAGACATTAAATGTCAGGATCATGAGATCATATTAATGTGGTATGTATGACAGAAAAGGGGCTAGAGTCCAATTTCTTTTTACAAATAAGGGCAGGGCATTTAGAAAACGGGACAGGGGTCAAAGCCTCCTGTAGAAAACACTAACTAGCCTGTCAACACGATGTGAGTGCGAACCTCCCACATGGCACATTTTCTACTGTCTGTAATTCAAACTGACACAATCGAATGACAGACAGGGATGTGTAACAATTTTACTGATTGAAGTAGCCCCCCTTTTTCCTGGACACCCTACGACAAGACCTACCCATCATGTATTTGGCTCATCTTGCTGATTTTCAGTTGTCAATGTTAAAAGATAATTCTGCAAGTATAAAAACTGCAAATTGGACTTTAAATGATGTCACAAATCCATGTCGTTTAAATGTAAAATCTCTATTTTGCCGTCATAAACATTCGTCGCCGGGGAGAGTCATGTGACCAAACAACTCTTTCACGCAGGTGCCCCGTTAATTGTCGTGTTTTGCTACAAGTATCTCCTCCTATTTCTTAGGGAGCACCAATGAATGACATTAAACTTTAATTCAAAATTTGTATTTAAAATCTAATTTATATTCTTATTTTTGCAAAACAATGTCTATTATTGTATTTAAAATTGTCGTTTAACGGAAAAAAAGTTAACATATCTTTCCTAAATTTTGAAATGTTGGAATATAGAAAAAGGTGGATGGCATTTAATATATTCGACCACTTTTTTTTTAAATGATGTTTTCGTATATTTAGGCATTATTTGACCGAAACATTTCATAAAATTCGGATTAGTGGTGATCGAAAGGTGTGATCTGTTATTTATTGACAATTTACAGATGCGGATCCAGGATTTTGAAAAAGGGGGTCGGGGGCCAAACTAGACAAAGTTTGGAGTGGAACCGGTCAAAAGTCTGGATTAACCATACATGTAGCTCCATAAGGGAGGGCCAGTGCACCCTGGGCCCCCTAAATGTGCCTCTGATTTAAGAAACCTTTTTTATCCGTCTCTTTTCTATCACTGAATACCCGGTGAGCTGAGGGTCTGGAGTACGCAAAAGGGGGAGGAGGTATCTTCAGTTCAATTTTTTATTCTTTAATTATTTAGTGCAATTGTCTCTATTCTTTATTCATTTTGACCATTATTCTCTATTTCAGCAAACCATTATTCACTATTCATTTATCGTCCTGAACATGCGGCATGAAATAATTGCCACTGAACGTTAAAGTCATATGAAACTTCAACTTAAAAAAAAAGTTTAATATGTTTTATATAAATTCATGGCTGAGTTTTACTATGAAACAAGTATACGTGAACTTTCTTGTAAAAGAAAATCCTTTATATTATCAAAATCTTCATAAATGTACTGCTATCGAAATTATTGTCTTCCCGTACACTAATTCGCCGATATTTTCCCGTATGCGGTAACCTTAACTACGGAACTCTCGTCAGAACTTCGGCCACCGCACAGCGTAAGTGCGAGGGGAAAACCGTGATGAAAGAATGTAAACAAACGTGCACTGGAAGGTAAATAGTAATAATTGATTCTCAAAGAATAAATATAATACATCAAATCATTTAACAACATTAACTGTAAGGAAAAGTTTAATTCATGTAACAAATGGGAACGCATGGAAAATGTAAAAGATATATAGCATGGCTCTATATATATCAACTCACATATTTGTCACATGATCTACGTGCTCTGTGTTGATTGTTTATCAATTTCACGATCCGGCCTTGAAAACTTCGGCAACAAACTTGAAAGTTAGTTAGCTTGTGATCAACAATCACTGAATGAAATATTTGTTGTCAATAATTAATATGTTATAGATTCGTTAAAAAAATATTAGAAAAAAACTTGCATACAGAACTTAATTTGGTATATGCATGCATTGGTTCAATAATTTCGATAACAGCTTTAAAATTACAAGAAAATCGTTTCATATGACTTTGATTAAGCGAACAACAATGAATTTTTTGATTGCAAACTAAGTAGACAGCTATTCGGGATGTTCAATACACACATTGAAGGAAAGTGATTGCTCGCGTTTAATTATTTTAAAATCTTAAAGCATATATATAGGGACAGTGGTAAAACAATATTCTCTGCTCCCCGTCTCTGTGAAAGGGCTTAATAATGAAATCACATGAACTTGATATGAAATGATTGGTTTAAAAATACGAAAAACATTGTATCATTGACAGGTGGTTGCTGCTTCATGTCCAGTGGCAAATGTTAAATTCATATCCAGATCAATGTTGTCAACTGATACATTCTATGATTACAATATATTCAAATGTATAATAAAAATGTATATTTGCCACGAACTTGCCCGTTTTATATATATTAACTGACCAAAATCAAGCTAGAAACTAACCCATAATCATAAATACTGCGATTTGCAAACTTGTTCCCCAGATTCCCATTGCTGTCACCCGAGTAAGTGGCTCCACCTTTTGTAGAATCTTGAATTGCTTGATAATCTCTGAGCTGATTTAAATATGATGTTTCACAGGTACACAGATTAGACAAAAAATCATCAACATTAAACTCCCTCTCTGTTAAGTTACGTGAAGAAAAGTATTGGTATTTGTCAAATATTTCAGAAGGAACATCGGTAAAAAGGTTTCCTGCTGAACCTTGATCAGGATATAATATACATGCGCAGCTTTCATATGGAAATTTACTTCCATAATTCCTGTCGCCATTTAAGCCTTGATTCCAAGTATAGTATGTTTCACAATTCCATCGTTTTCTACCCTCGGAAAAGAAATTATCAGAATAATTCCCCCTTTCAGATGCAGTCCCAGTAGTATGGATATTATCACTATAAGGTGACTGCAAGCATGGACTTGATGAAAAAGTCTCACAACTGTAATGTTCAGAGGGAATTGCAACAAAATTATTATTTCCACTAGACAGAAACGGGTTTGAGCACGATCTTTCAAAATTATCTTTCCAAAATCCACCTGCATTTTCCATATCATGGCACGTACACCCAAAATCCAAACCACCAGACATTTCCTGTAAAAATGCATTCTTAAAGTAACACAAGGTTTCATTGTATTTACAAACTTTTGATAGATCGAGCAGATAGGGGATAATTTATAAATAATAATTTATTGTAAATAACACACCCATTACTTAGGGATACAACGGTCTTTTTATGATTTTAAACAACGACCGTATTAATATATACATGTAAAAGTTCACTTAATGCTAAAACATTAGAAAATATAATTAGATATAAGAATTTTATACTTGAACATAAAGATTAAACATTCTGAACTGTTTTTAAACAATTCTTTAAGATGCAATTCACTATTCGCCCTTTTAGAATCTAAAGGTCCATGGATAATCACATTGGTCGTACACCAAAATGAATATAACATTACGTCATTGGTTCAATTTCCATTGTTTAGTACGTTTGAACCCAATCATTACGTTTTGTTGCTCGCTTTTGAAAATGCACTAGATTCTTAAACGGCGAATCCAAGATTTGTAATTATATTCAAAATACAAAAAATTACAACATAATAAAGTTAAATAAGTATGAATTAATCTTATACAATTTTACCAAACGCATTTCAGAATTCACGATTATTACTACTTCTTTTCACAAAATTCAACACTATCTAATTTAAAATGGATGAGCTAATTTAAACAATTCTTTAAGAAACCTTACAGAATTGCAGATTCTTACTACTTCTGATAAGAATACAAAACATTATAGTATGTAAGACTTACCAGTATTTTTTGCTTATTTTTTAGTAAGTTTTATGACGATTCAGCTTAAAATATTCAATCAACTCATCATTTAAAAACTTCGACAAGTTAGTTTCTAACACGATGCGTCATATTCTCTATCAAACACATATCTGGTAACTTGTTTTAAACTAAACTAACCACGGTCTAAATATTTTGTACATAGAAACCATTAATAAAGTATGTTTTATGTGGAGTTAATGCTAAGATACCTCATAGGTATACATTCCCGGGCTGCTCCACATGCATCCTGGATCTAACTGTACAACTGATGATCACAAGATTCAATGATTCGGAAGATATTTAATAGTTATTTTATAACTATAAATATAGGTTGCAAAATTAAACAATATTTTACTGTAAAGGAAGAAAATTTCATTTTATTTGGTAAATGTTGTTTGTTTTATAGCGGTTATTTCAGTTTTGTAGCTATGGTTCAAATAAGTAATTAGCCCCTACCCCTTCCCCCCCCCCCCCCCCAAAAAAAAAAAAAAACATGGGGAGAAATGCGAAGGGAGCAAATGAAAACCATCAGTTGAAAAGAAAAGAAAAGTTAAACAGACAAAACCATGGCAACCCCTACAAAAAGCACGACAAGAAAAACAACGTTCAATAGAAATTACACAGAAAATTATAAATTGAACAACATGAATTCAACCAAAAATCTAGTAAACTTAGGCTCTCTGGAAGCCCAAAGGGTGAGCATATTCCTGCTCCACTAGTGACATCCTTCATCTTACTTCAGCAAACAAAACGCTGACGAGTCCTTGTCATATTACAAAATCAAACTTTAAAACTGTAGTCTAAGATCGCGGTCTATTAAGCTGGCTGGAGTTATAAGAAAATAATCGCGGTTTATTAAACAGGCTGGAGTTATAAGAAAATATTTGTATGTATCTGATATTACATGATTAAGGGGAATAGCAAATTTCCCTTGTATTTTTTTAATACACAGGGTCAATATAGATTTGTTGTTGAAACGTAATTAATAGCTCAATGGGTTTTTTTTTTCGTACAGCAAATAATAATATGCATTCATAAAATCAAAATGCTATTCAGCGCTATACAAATTATTGTTGAAGACAATTTTGATAATAATGAATGTAAAAAAAAAATCAATGAACCATGCATGACGTGTGTAGGTTATAGCTGGTCAACATCACCCATGTGATTTTAATTTTACCGGTTTAAATGTTTTGACACAGTCCCCGCATTTAACGTCTAGCGTCGAGTATTTACCTTTTCGTAACATGTCTATTACATTTATCAATTTAATGAAATTAGACTGATCCGTTCGTAAATCAATTAGAAATATAAAGAAAGAGAAAGATTAAACGGTAAATCGCGTGAATCCCTATAGCAGCGAGACCTGTAATGTCGATTGGGGAAGCGTACTTCTCCTACGAGACAGTCAGAAAAGTCACAATAGGGGACATGACACATCCGTATATTTTGAAATTAGATGAATATTATTTAAGAAATGAATGCTTCTTTTTGTAGTTTTATTGGGGTGTTAAAGTGTTGACCGAAGCACATTTTGTATTTTCTAAAAATGTGTGCACGATCAACACTTTTACACCCCAATAAAATTACAAAAAGAAGCATTCATTTCTTATAATTACATTTTTATGCTAATGAGACCATGAAAAAAGAGTTTTATTAATTTTTTCCTTTATTTACCTGTGCACGTTTTTGTGGAAGCACGTGTCATCACGAATGTAACATTTCATTTTGATATATGAAGGTTAATTTTTGAATGACGCGCGATTGTTGTTAGCCAATCAAACTAACAGATTCTCGTGAAACATACATGCAATGTAATTATTGTGTCTTAATTAAGAAAAACTTGTTGTTCATCAATTGAACCATGTTAATTATAGTTGACTATGCGGTATGGGTTTTGCTCATTGTTGAAGGTCGTACGGTGACCTATAGTTGTTAACTTTTATGTCATTTGGTTTCTGTTGGAGAGTTGTTTCATTGGCAATTATACCACATATTCTTATTTTTATAATTGATTGATAGTTGTTTTCTAAATATTTTTTGCGTTATAGATAATGCATATTTTAAGGTTTTTCTTTGTCGTATAACACACCTTTGGGTGCCAGGATTGATCAAACGAAAGACCGACCGTAGGGAGGTCTTTTTTGGTCAATCCTGACACCCAAAGGTGTGTTATACTGCAAAGAAAAACCTCAAAATATGCATTATCTGACTTATATACCGTCAAAATATATTATTTTCTGCAAAGACTTGCAGGGTTTTGAAGTTCTATATTTTTGCAGTCTTTTTTCTGATATTCATTCTCCATTATTTCTCGAGTTAAATTGTGAAAAAGTCTCACCAAAGGAGACTAAATCGTTTTCTACAAACGATACTGAACAGGTAAATGGAAGCATGAACCAAATTTTAGAATTCAAAGGTAAAATAAATACTGATGTTGTTGATGAACTATTTTCACGTCTATTAGAAAAGAGCGAAAATGTCGATGTTGTAGATCAAAACTGTATAAATGTTATAGTAGACGATGTAACAAATATTCTTCTTAAACCTGCTAAAAAAACGTTTGGTGTACATGTCAATACGTCTAAGTATGAGAATAATAATAATAACAAGAACTGGTTTAATAAAGATTGTAATAAAAGTAGACAAGCATATAGAAAATCACTAAGATTATTTAAACATTATGGCTATAATGTATTTAAGCAACGATTAAGAAATAGTGAAAAACATTATAAGAAAACTATGACTAATAGCATTCGTCTTTTTAATATTGATTTTAAACAAAAAATGAAAACACTAAGAACCAGAAACCCCCCGTGAATATTTGAAAACTTTTGAACGTGAAAAAAAAGACAGTTAATAATGAGATCGGCTTACAATCTCTTTTTCATTCCTTTATAAGGATATGAATAAAAATAAAGATTATGACGCAAACTCGGAACCTAATTTCGATATTTATCACTAGGAATCATATGATTTCTTGAACAATAGTATTACAAGAGACGAAGTTATTAAAGCTATTAAGGTGGTACCCAACACCTTGACTAATATTAATTTGGCTCGTTTAATTTTCCTAAAATTTTGACAAAATGTTTACTTTGACCCTTTGACAAAAATATAAAAATTTCAAAAAATTTGAACCAACCACTTTATCAGAAAAATTTCATTGGTTATATAGCAGTTTGACAAACACTAATTTTGATCATTGAGAAGCTTAATATTTCCTTAACAATACAACGTGATTAAAACGTTTAGCTGATTTTTACAGAGTTATCTCCCTGTAGTGTTAGGTACCACCTTAAGAATGTTAAAAATAACAAATCACCTGGTGATGACTTGATAATAAATGAATACATAATTATGTTCAACTGTTGATTTATTGTGTGATGTTACTAATAAATTAGGCCATTAGTTTTCTCAATTGAATTGTTTTATACTTTTCATGTTGGGCCTTTTATAGCCGACTATATACTGTACGGGTTTTTCTCATTGTTAAAGGCTGTATGGTTGTCTATAATTGCTTACATCCACTTCATTTGAACTTTGGTGGATAGTTATCTCATTCAGGCAATCATACTACACCTCCTTATTTTTATATAACTCGAGAACAGTGACAGTGACACCATCCAAATTCGAACTTGATTTCTGTTTGGAGCAATAAGGATTGTGTATAAATTTCATTTGGTTGAGACAAACTAAAATTAGAGAATGGAGACCAATTTCGGGACAGAAGGATGGACATACACGGATCAACCTTAATGCACCCAATCATCTAGCGGTTGAGGCATACAAGTAACACAATAACTGTTAAACTCTTCCTAATTCTCTTAAAGTTGTCTAGTGATGGTTGAAATGATCCTGTTTCATTGGAGACTAGGTTTCAACTAAACCTTAGTGATTAAAGCTTGTAGGCACCATGCATAGAACTGTACAATACCATTATTTATTGCCAAGTATTACATTTCCCTTTTGATACTACTGCTCAACATTTTTAAGATCAAGGACAAGACAAGATATTCAAAAATATAAACCAATGACGAAACGTGATACAGAAACGTGATACAGAAGCGTGATACAGAAACGTCACTTAATTTTCATGTCATTCCACATCAATTTATCAATAAAATCCATACGACTTTATTCTGACAACAGATACAGAACAACTATCACAACCCTATGTACGCTTACAAATAGTCTTATGAACTCCTTCATGTAATTTCTTATTAAAAAAAAATTGCCAATAAAAATAATAATGACATTGACTTTTAATCTGGAAATCATTAACCCGAAATATCAGCTTGCCCCAGTTCGGTCAATATCCCTAATGCGCCTCAAATTAAGGAACACAAAAGTAGTGCGTAAACAAAAAATCTTTGTAGTATTATTGGACATGTTTCAATTTTTAACAAGTGACTGAGCTTAACCATTTGTGCTGATTTGGAGGGCAGAGTACAACAGTTTTTGATTCAGGTAGTTTACATTGTAGTAGAGGTCAAATCAACTTGAAACTTAGTACACATTATAGTTTATCAATTGAATTGTTTTACATTTTCCATGTCAGGACCTCTTATAGCCAACTCTGCAGTATGGGTTTTTCTCATTGATGAAGGCTGTAAAGTTGCCTATAATTGCTTACATCTACTTCATTTGAACTTTGTTTGATAGTTGTCTCATTGACAATCATACCACATCTCCTTATTCTTATATATGTTCATCTGGCACGTATCATATGACCTTGACTTCATTCTCTTAGTTCATTGGTCATTGTTAATTTTTTTTCGTTTGGTCGGTTTTTCAGATATGATAAGCAATGGGTCAACTATATATGGTGTATTGAATGATTGGAAAGTGTACATGTCTGTCTGGCAGTATTGTCTGACCTTGACTTCCTTTTCATGGTTCATAGGTCAATGTTCAGTTTTCCTGGTTGGTCCCTCTGGCAGGGTTAATCTAACCTTGGCCACGTTTTCATGGGTTGTTGGTCAACATAAAGTTTGCGTAGATAGGTCTGTTTTTGGATACTTTAAGCAATAGACTAACTAATTTTGGTGTATAATTGTTAAATGTACATATCTATCTGGCAGGGGTCATTTGACCTTGACCCCATTTACATTGATCATTGATAACTTGGTTACTTTTCATCTTGTAAAACAAACCGTTATTGTAAATACTTTCAACATAAAATCAATCATGAACCATAATGCAGGGGAGACATTTCAGCGTGTGTACATATGTTTTTCATAAATGCAACCGAAAAGACTAACAACAGTCTACAAATCAAAACATAGAGCATTTAAGACTGAGCAACACAAACCCTAACAAAAACTGGGGTTGAACTTAGGTGCCTATCCCAAGTCAGGAGCCTGTAATTGAGTGGTTGTCATTAATTGCTGTTTCTTATATTTCTTTTTCGTTTATTGTTGTGTATAGTTTGTTCTTGTGTTTAGTTTGTTCTTGTGTTTTGTCGTTGTCCCATTGTCCCAGGTTAGGGGGAGGGTTTGTCGCCAGCAAAATAGTCAACCCCGCCACATTCTGTATGTACCTGTCCCTAGTCAGGAGCCTGTGATTCAGTGGTTGTCGTTTGTTTCTGTGTAACATATTTGTTTTTCGTTCATTATTTTGTACCTTAATTAGGCTGTTAGTTTTCTTGTTTGAATTGTTTTACATTTGTCATTTCGGGGCCTTTTATAGCTGACAATGCGGTAAGGGTTTTTTCTCATTATTGAAGGCTATACAGTGACCTATAGTTGTTAATTTCTGTGTCATTAGATCTCTTGTGGAGAGTTGGCTCATTGGCAATCATACGACATCTTCTTATTTTTATATTAGGTGCTCCAGAAGGGTTAGCAGATCCTGCTCTACATGTGACACTCATCATGTTTCACTAACTACGTTGATAAGTTATATCAAATGAGTAGGCAGAACCTACTCATTCAGTAGTTAAAAATTTTCAGTAATTATAGTCAAAGTAAAAATGCAATGAAATAAAATGGTTTATTGGGTCTGAAAGTATACAACAGTGTACATTTATATATAATTATAATTATATGCTGTGAAATGAAATGATATAATATACAACAATGTACATAAATATTTGATTATAATTATATGCTGTGAAATGAAATGATATAATATACAACAATGTACATCAATATTTGATTATAATTATATGCTGTGAAATGAAATGATATATAATACAACAGTGTACATATATATTTGATTATAATTATATGGTGTGAAATGAAATGATGTAGTATACATACATGTACATTGTTATTTAGTTATAGCATAATTACCATTTAAAATACAACAAAAAATATGAAAGGATGAGGTTTGATCAGGCCACTTTTTGGCCCCTTCATTTTGAAAATATAGAAATATTAGAAATATACTAAATAAGATCCTCAGATGTTTGCTAGACTTTAGTCTGTCAGACATCAGTATAAATATTTAGAATTTTGTCATACTTCAAACTTGTTGTAAAATTGAAAAAACTGTTAAAATAGCCTCATTTTGATATCTTTCCATTAAATATTTTGATATGAACCAAGGCTTTACCCGTACATATATTGTTCTGCAAGTTGTATTTTACAAACATTTTAATCTGTGTAAAATATGTTTCTGGGTAAGACCTTTGCTAACACAATGTTTCTAAAAGTGTCGGGAAAATTGCCATTTTAGGTCAAATATGTCAATATCAACATATGACATCATCATGATCATAGTGACATTACGCATGACCTTTCTGCACTGAAGAATTCTTATTATAACTTCTTGTTCATTTATCAATATAAGTAACATAATTTTTTAACTTTAAAGATAATTTATGATTTAACTATTTTAGAATGCCTGAGGCCAGATAATGGCGCTATCATACCTCCTCTTTTATTATAAATGTAATTACAGGGGAATTACCAGTATATTGAATGGTAAATTCACAGATAATCCATACATTTATTATTAGTTTGTATCCAATGGCATGTTCTGCATTTAGGTGTTCTTCAGTGGATGCAAAAGAATATATATGCTACAAGTTCAGTTCCTAGCAGCATTAATAACATTAGCAGTACAAATCTTACTGCCACAGAGCATGCACAGGTGTATTTTTACAATTAATGTCTGTTCAGTGCTACTCAAGGCCAACTTAATTTGAAAATCTAAAACTAAATAGGTGGATGCAAATACCACATAGATAACTACTGTAAAATAGCTCGTCTCCAAAAACCTTTTATCAGTTGAAAAATTAATTTGACTAGAATTATCCACGACTTAGGTTATTCATTGTTAAGATTGCAGTCATAATGATTACCAGGTGAGTGAAGTACATCCTTCCAGCCTCCTGTTAACATCAATTTTAAGCTATATATAACTTATTTTGTGTGATTTCAGGGAATACTTTAATTTTCATGTGATAACGTTTATTATAGTCAGCAGACCTTTAAGTTATTCAAGGAATTTTACTATAAAGCATAATATGCTTGTTTGACATTTGTAATCTTGTTTCTGGAAAAAAGTAAAAAAAGAATTGGGGCAATTTGTGTTAACAAAATACATCATAAGCCAGGCATCCTCATCAGAGTTGACACAGTCTGAATGCAGCACCTGTGAAGTTATACTTATCTCTCTGTGATCAGAGTTGACACAGTCTGGATGCAGCACTTGTGTAGTTATACTTATCTCTCTGTGATCAGAGTTGACACAGTCTGGATGCAGCACTTGTGAAGTTATACTTATCTCTCTGTGCAGCAAGATAAAAATAATGTTTTGCTCTTTCTCTATCACCTAACAACTGAACAGCTATTCCCAGTAAAATTAAATGTTGACTAGAAATAAAAGGATTTGCTATTTCTATTTCTGATAACTTATTTATACAATCTAGACATGATCTAAAGTCCTGTAGATGGTAACAACATAGAAAATTCAGGAAATGTGCAAATGATATGACATTTAGGGAAATACCAGCAAATAATCCCAAAATGGTTCTACCAGACTGAAGTTCCTTTGGGATGCCTGAGGAATTTGATCCTAACATTTTAAATGTAACAAATGGAAATGAAAATGTCTTCAACAATGGTATAAACTTCAGTTTCTGCATCTGTTTCGGTGTCGTCTTTGACAAAAAAGATTCATCTGTACATTTTGACAAACTGTAATTTATAATATTTATTGATGTTAAATATTTTTTGTGAACATAGAAGAAAGAAGCCAATTTCAGCCACCCTGAAACTGCATCTGAATGTACACCAACCAACAACTGGCTGAGCTCACATTTGTAGTTTTTGTATTGTTTTTTATTGTTTGTGTTAATTATATGTGGAAGTGCAAAAGGGATTATTCGATATGCAGTTGCAATTGTCTGTTTAAAGATATATCTAGATAATAATGTTTTACAATGATGTAGCAAAGTATTGAACATGTTTAGCATGTTTATGAAAAGTAACTGTTTACTGTCACCTTGCGCTTTAATTGACTTCATTATTGAATTAATTTCATACACTGATCTTGTTATTTCGCATGGAAACCTTCTATAATCATGCAAAGTCTGAGATGATGAGAAAATCTGAACTCCTATTTGATATGAATTTTTAAAGATGTTGATTAATGTGTTCCTGTTTATACTGTTAAACCTTAAATAAAACAAGTTATTTTCAGGAATGAAATAATGTAACAATGTTGAATATTCTAAACAGTATAGTAACCTTTGTAAACAAGCCATAAAACAGGGTATAATATTGTCTGGTCTCCAGACTGATGTTTCTGTTTCTTCTGAAATCCAAAAAATAAGGGTCTTCAAAAAGTATGAACACAATAAACCTTTTAGATCTTCATTTCTATCTACTATTTCTTTCAGTAATATTTTTAACATAGCATAGCATAGTAACTGGGTATGACTAAAAGAAAATATGAGTACTTTTTCTGCTACAGAAAATGATATTCGCCACTGCAGATTCTCATTTATGGACCCCTTGTTACCAATTGGAACAAATAAAACACCGCATGATTTAATTTTGGAAATAATTTCAGATTTAGGCCATAATGAACGTGATCTAGAGATCCATGGTTGAGCTTGAGATACCCACTGATCAGCTTTAAGGCAAAATGCTAAATCAATATAACCATAAATGTCTGATAAGCAAGGACCATGAAATATAGTGGGCATTTCTGGAAAAACCGGTTGAATAATATTCTCTATCTGTGACTTAAATAGCTCATTTGAAAGTAGGTTCTCTCCTCTGTGTTGTTGTAGATTTTGTTTAATACTATATGGTATAGTAGCATAATTGTCATACAAGCGTAGATGTGTAAAACAAGGAGATGTGTCATCAGTATCCATGACAAACACAGTCCTCAAATTCTGGACAAAATCTTTATCTGATTCGATTACTGCATATAAAGGATGAATGAACATTATATCATGATCACTACCTTTAAGATTTAGTCCTTCTCCCTTACTTCCACTGCTTATTTGAGGAAGTAATTTGGTGGAAGATTCGACGTCTGTACTTATAAGTGTCAGTCGTCTAGCTTTTACTACTTCTTCTGATCCAATCTTCTGACACAAATATTTATAAAAATGCAATGATTCTGTTTTACTGCAAGACATAATTGTCTTTAAATCTGTAGAGATTCTTAATGGTTTGTCTGTACAGATATTCTCTCTATCCTTGTAATGGTTTCTTGTTGGTACTGTATGATTGTCTAGGAACTCTCCCTTATCTTGTAATGGTTTCTGGTTGTTTTTGTATTATTGTCTTTAGTCTTTTCTTTGTAATGGTTTCTATATTATTACCTAAATAGACTTTTATCCTGGTCTATTTTTTTGTTGATACTGTTTAATTGTATAAATATTCTCTCTATCCTTGTTATGGTTTCTGGATTGTATTGTATGATTGTCTAGATATTCTCTCTATCCTTGGAATGGTTTCTGGACGCGGTACTGTATTGTTTAGGTATTCTCTCTATCCTTGTTATGGTTTCTGGATGGAACTGTATAATTGTGTAGGTATTCTCTCTATCCTTGTAATGGTTTCTGGACGGTAAAGTATGATTGTGGTGATTGTCTCTCTTCCTTGTAATGTTTTCTGGACGGAACTGTATGATTGTCTAGATATTCTCTATCCTTGTAATGATTTCTGGACGGTACTGTATTATTACTGTATTGTCAAGATATTCTTTTACCTGTATTATTGTTTCTGGTTAATGGTTCTGTATTATCATCTAGATAGTCTTTTATCCTTCTAAAGGTTCATGTTTATTTTCCCTTAAATAAATAAAGACTTGCATATTTTACTAATTAGTATAGAACCACTAAAATAAGTAGTATATTGTAAACAAAATAGTTCTCATGTATAGCTGTAGCTTTGTAAATAAGTAAAATATTTGTTTGATTTTTTTAATCAAATGAAAGCTGAAGGGCTAGGGATCATTATAGAACCCTTGCTAAAAGTTATGGATAATTAAAGATATACTGAATATGTACTTTTTCCCGCGTGTACCTATTTTCGCGCAATCGGTATTGCCGATGAATTTGCGTGTATTTAATTTCGCGGTTGTGCAGAAAATATCAAAACATCAATAAAGGATGTTCTGTATTAAGTGAACAAAAGTTTCGTTTTAACAAGGTAAATAGCCTTAGCCTGAGGCAATAAAGCTAAAAGTAAGTACAATTTTATTTTATACCTTCGGTAATAGTTCATTCACAATATGACAATAAAAAAATCTATTTATCAGTCAATACATACTTGGGTTCAAAAGTGTGTTTTTTTTTTTAAATATGTTCATTTAATATTTAAATTTTCATTAATTAAGTCTTTATTTGTTAAACAAAATATAAACTTATAAATAACAGGTCAATGAAATTGTTTACAAAATAAACAAAGATTATTCAATCAACAAAACAGTTAGAAAGAGATTATTAGTATTCTCAGATTAAATTGTTGCGGGTTTCACAGTTCAAATGAGGTATTGTTAAGGGAAACCAGGTGAACGTGCATGTACGTGTAACTTCAGGAGAAAATTTTTCAAAGGTTTTACATCTATTTAAGCTGCATTTGTATTCGCGTGTATTTATTTTTGCGAAAATATATCTACCGCGAAATTCGTGAAAAGAAATACACCGTGAAAAAACATAATACAGTATATGAAATTAAAATAGGAGGGTATATTTGCCCTGTTGCTTGGATCAGAAGTACCTGTTTTTGTTCTACCAAACGTCTGGGAAGCAGTGCACTCTAATATGCAATTAAAGGTATGTTGAATTTTTAAACACAAGTCAGGATAAGGTATAGTTTTGACATGAAATGTCTATCACTTGATTTGAACATAATAAATAATAGCTATGAATGCTGGGAGTTTCATAATTTAACATAGAAAGCAATACACCAATCTCAAGATGTTTTTTTATGAATGGGTTACACTAGTTGACCCATCGTTATTGGTGTAAATTATGTCATTGAACTATCGGTTCTTACTGTGACGTGATAACATAAGCATTGTGACAAAGGAAATGTATGGGAAATTGCATGGATTAGGGCTTTGAATTAGTGGTGTTTTTCCTATTGAATGAGATTCAAACGTGTGACTATATATATAAGGAATGAAATTGTGTAGCCAAACTTGAGCTAAACACGTTCGAATTTGGGTGGCGTCACTTGTACTGTTCTCGAGTTATGCCCCTTTATAATGTTATATGCAAGCGGAGGCATCATCTGTGTCATGGACACATTCTTTATTTATTTTAAATGTAGTATTAACCAATCGTTGGGTTGACAGTTTGTTTTATAAGTTAGATATCTAGTCTAAGAGTGTGCCTAAAGTAAGGGGGGAAACAATTATAGTATACAAACACAGATTTAATGAAATCATTTCAAACAAATTTTTTTTGTTGCAAATTTTATCAATATTTGTAACTATATGGTTTGTTTTTCATATAATGATTTATTTAAGATAATTTGAAATGAGGAAATTTTTATTAGAAATCTATACTTTTATATTTGAAGTGAAGGATGTTCTTCTAAGGTTCTTCTTAGCGGGGTTTTCCAAACTTTGTCATTACGTAGTGAAGAATTTTCCTCTTAGTACGGAAGTATAAACTAGGAAACAGAAAGATACCATAGTTTCAATAGCACATCTTAAATATACTTAAATGTTTATTATTGGCATCAGATATTATACACCTATTGACTGGTTATGAGGATAATAGCAAGTTTGTTGTCCATGAGATACCAACTATTGCTCGAGTCGATCTACATACAACACTTTGGAAAAAAAATAGTCACATAATAAAATTGAGAATGGAAATGGGGAATGTGTCAAAGAGACAACAACCCGACCAAAGAGCAAAAAACAGCCGAAGGCCACCAATGGGTCTTCAAAACAGCGAGAAAATCCCGCACCCGGAGGCGGGCTTCAGCTGGCCCCTAAACAAAAATGTGTACTAGTTCAGTGAAAATGGACGTCATACTAAACTCCAAAACATAAATGAACTAAAATTAAAAATCATACAAGACTAACAAAGGCCAGAGGCATAAACATGGGCATAAAATTTGGCATAAACATGGACAATATGAACTATCAGGTTTTTTTTTATTTTTATTTTTTTGCCCATGTGGGTCTTGATCATGATTACAGTAAATCAAATATTGACAAATACAAGAATCCTTGTGTGAAAATTCCCGTGAATATAATGACTACTAGCTAAAATATATTAGAGTACACCAAAGTAATCACATATGAAGACGACGACAGACCCATGCCATACATGTGTTATGTTTCAGTTCTTAAACTATGTCGCGTAAATTTTTTTTTCTTTTTTAATTGGTTCTGTAAGTAATATATAACTTGAAATTACAACAACAAACACATGCAGTTTATGCCGTTTACGATATTTCATAGTTTAACGTTGCCAAACACACAAATCCAAGCAGAATAGTCAATGACGCCTGGTTGTCCAATGAAAAATTAGTATGAAAAAGTACGGGAAATATGTTTATAAAACTATTGACCGGGGTAATAGTCTTTGAAACAATTGACTGGCAAATAGTCTGTGGAATGAAATAGCACAAATATTTCATTCTTTTTGACATAGAAAAAACATACTGAGGTATAATAATTATATTTAAAAACAATTAGAGACGTGGTCTGCTAATAATGACAATGAGAAAACTTTTCACCAGAGTTCTTTTCATTTTATGTTGTTTAATTATTAATGTCAATTAGAATTTTATATTCACCATAATATATGCTAAACAATATACTAAGCACTATGTTTGTGTAATTGGGACGTAATTATGTTGATTGCTTCTTTTTATTTGTACCTTTTTAAGAATATCTGATTGTAGAAAAAAAAATATAAGATGAGATATTTTTTTCTCAATTATTTTAATTCATAATTTCTATCTATAAATAATGTTCAATTTCCTTTTATAGCAATTGGCTGTAGATCATACCCTCAACCTGTCAAAAATACTAGTCGTTCGCAATAAGCACGAGATAATGGCTACTTGACGTAAAGCAAGCAATAATCAATCAATCAAAAACACTACTACATTTATAAGAAATGCAGAATCATTGACATTCAATGTCATTTTTAAATAAAATATTTCACATGACAGTAGGCCTGTATATAAACAAAATAATCCTATTAAAATAGACCCAAAATTGAAAAATGAAAGGAGAAAGAGGTATATTTAGGGTGGAGGATATATCAAATCTTTCTGGAGCACAAGACAAATTTATACCTCAACCTGATCATAATTTAATAAAATCCCTTTCAGGGACAACATAACGGCTACCACTAGTTTACTCTTCCTGAACACCAGATCTCATGTCTGGTTTTCAATGTCACAAATTGAATAAGAAAGCAGACCTTTTGATTCAGAATTTGTTTTGATGGCGGTCATTTCAGATAAAGTGGACTTTAATAATCAAACAGTGCAGGTCAAATAAATGATTTTGAGGAACATTTTCATGCCCACAACAAAACCATGTACTTTTTGCTTTGCGGTAGCAAGACATTTCAAGTACTTTTGATCAGTAATTGCTAGATATCTTTAAAATGGTTCAATTTTAACCTCTTTACCATATACATGTATATTCTTATATGCCATGACCAGACCTTATTAGTCAACCATGTTTTGTTCCTGGGAGACCTCCCCTCTGCTTTCGTGTAATTAATTAATTAATAATTTGAAAAATGTTCACATTATCCCTGGTGCCTTTTTATTTTTAATAGTCATTACAAGACCTTTACAGTGCACCAACAGTTTTGTTTCTTTGGAGTCTTGCCCCATCTCCTTTATTATAAATTGTTGAATATATCACTGTTGGCATTATTTTATATTGAAACAAACCACCCAAGTATCAGCGCAGCCCTAAATTCATTTACCCATAGCATATTAACTTTACTTACCTTCTAATAAGACTACACTCATTTACTTGTTTTCTATTGGTAACTTATCTAATGTTTCAACTCTCACATAGAAAATGCTTCTTATACGATGAAATTACAGTATTTATAGGCAGACAAACTCAAGTTTCCAATTATAGAGTTATATTAATGAAAAGTTAAAACAAAAATCCACTGAGATCGATGAAAGATAATGATAATAAAAACCCACTGAGATTAAATGTAAGTATTTATTTCCTTCATTCATTCATCACAAAGCACTTAACATATAACAATTTCTAGCGCAAATTTGTAGTGTGCAAAACATAAATCTGATTGCTAAAAAAATGAGCACATGTATCAAACTTGCCCAATTTGTTTTAGTATATTTTAGAAGGGGTTTATAAGTATATTGGAACTCTGAAAAAAGTATTGGTTACAATTTTGATTAATAACTCCAGTATCCCATTTACTGATTTGGAACAAATTTATACAGGTGAACAGTTATTTGTCCTTCCAAGCAAATAAGTATTTTGAACACTCGATATAAAAATATTAGTTAACCTGTACCTCATTTTTATGGATCATTGGTCAAGTTCACGAAGGGTTAAAATTGGCCCTAAGATTTTTATGTTTTTTTTTAATCAGGCCATTATACTACAATTTTCACATAGAAATAGTAACGATATTACTATTAATACAAAATAACTTTATTTTGGCACTTCATATCAAAACTGACGAAGTATTGACTCTTTTAAGTATGCATTATTTGAGTTGTAACGTCAGTTTTGGTAAAATTTTCAAAAATTCTTAACAGTTTTTAGCATAATTTACCTTGGCTGCCACCAAAGATCCAGAAAGTTTTTGTGTCTTGGGATTCAATATCATCATTGGCAACTCTTAGTTACAGAACATTTTGGATCCTAGGTTGCGGCAAAGAGTTTCCTCAAGCTATTCATGTCGTTGTGCTATTAGGTCCGAAAAATAGACAAAACCATCATATTTTGACACTATATCGAAAATGTGCTGATTTTGAAGCCAAAACTGTACTCGTATGAAGTGATTTCTTTTAACAAAAAAGTAAATTTTTTGAAATAGATCCATTTAAGAACCAAATTATGGCCATTTTGAAATTTTATGATAAAGTTGAAATTCAAAGCCATATTTGGCCTAAAGTGAACCTTGAGTTACGTCTGTTTCTCAGATACTATGAGCAACAGGTCAATTATATTTGTGCATGCAATGTTTGTAAGGTGGGCATATGTCTGTCTGGTAAAGTTTATCTGACCATCACCTTATTTACATTGATCCTAATAATGATAGGTTTATGTGATACATGTTGTAAAACCAGTGATCTTATTTTATTGCCATAATAATCAATATTGATATGATAATATAACTACCATGTATATCAATATATGAAAAAATAGAAATTAAAATTCAATGTTTTGTTTTAGAGTTAGTTAAAATATGTGATAAACAGATCTTTACAAGTAAAAGAGGGGCGAAAGATACCAAAGAGACATTCAAACTCATAAGTCGAAAATAAACTGACAACGCCATGTTTCCAATGGTCCCTTATGTATCAGCCTTTCATCTGAATAAGCCCACGAGAGTAAGCCCTCTGACTGGTACTAGGAGCCCTCCATCTTAATTAGCCGAAATCCACCATGTACATGTATACGTGCAGTAATCTATTTTTATTGATATTGGACATCGATAAGAGAAGACTACAACCGATCGGACGTCGTTTTGGCCATACACGACGTCACAATTGGCGTCTAATAGAGGGTAAAAATATTGGACACTGATTTGAGAATATGACGTCAGATTTGGACGTCGATTATAGGAACGGACGTCGATTAGAGACCGGACGTCGATCTGAGTCTAATATATATATATAAACTGACAAACTGGTCCTGAATGGTAATGCTATATGGATAAAAAAAAATATTAAAAATGATAAGTTTGTTTCCTACTTCCTTGAAGAAATTTCCTGGTATATTTCATTCATTGAAATTTTCAATTTCTAAGAAAAACAGTAATTAAAATAAAATATTTAGTTTAGATTAATCAATGTGTAATCAAGATTGGCTACAGACATGATTTTATTGCTTTGGAAATTGATTATTATAGAAATAAAGAATAGTATGACAGAGTTTAATGATATGTAAACTAAGCCTACTCCCTCACAAACTAAATGTCTTAACCTTAATAATAATAATAATGTTAAGTTTGAGAGTGAAAAGCAATGTTTATACATCGATTAACTTTGCTAAATAACCTTTTTTCTAAGAAAATGCACTAAAACCTAGGTCCACATGATTTTTTTTTTTATTTTGATCTTGTTTATAGAGTTCTTAAGTTAAAGATTCAAGTGCATTTTTTGTTCCTTTATATAAACTAATGACGGGTGCCACATGTGGAGCAGAATCTGCTTACCAGGGCTTCTAGAGCACCCAAGATCACCCTTAGTTTTTGGTTGTGTTCGTGTTGCTCAGTCTTTAGTTTTCTATGTTGTGTTTTGTGTACTGTTGTTTGTTGTCTTTTCCTTTTTTTTCTAGCTATGGCATTTTCATTTTTTTCCCGACTTATGAGTTTTAATGTCCCTTTGGTATCTTCTGCCTCTCTTTTATTCTTAGAGGGTATCAATTTCACAGTAATTTAAAAAGTATTATGTCTTTTTATTTTTTGCAATAACATTGAATTTTATGCTCCTCCTGAAATATTTTGGTGCAAATGTAGTGATCCCTAGTTTTGCCTGTTTGGTCCCTCTGTCAGGCTTAGTCTTTAGTTAGTTGACAGACAATTATTTGATGATTCCCTGCTTTATCATTATAAATTTTATACAAATGGAAGACACTGGGAAGGGGAGAAGCCGAGCCATTTTGGGTCAGTAGTTCAAAGGTCAAAGTTAATATGTTTCTAAATATAAAATTGGTTTGGAAGAATAGTTTTTAGATGTTTTTTTCAGTTTCTCTTTCTTGATTGAAATGATACAGATATTGGCAAGGGTAAAAAGGATAGTGATGTTTGACATGATAGGTCAAAGTTCAAGGTCTCCTTTACTTAAAATAGAAAAATGAAATGAAAACTGATATCTGGGTGGTAACTTGAATTTTCCTCTCTTGATTAGAATGAAACTTTTACAGATAGAAGAGACGGGGATTTGGGAAAACAGGTCGAAATTCAAGGTCACTGTAACTTAAACAAAGAAAAAAATTCATTTCGTGATAGTATCCAACCACGAATTTTAATTCATTTATACAGGTGAAAATTAGCAATAATAGAACATATGTCCCTCTAGATAAAGTACTAGTAGTATTTTGTACTCTTGAAATAAATGCTTTCTATCGATACATTTACAGGTCATAAATACTAGTGCCAGCTATAATGTACTTGTTTTTATCTGTAGTTTGTGTTTTAACACATAATTTGTAAGTCTATCATGTTAAATTAAGCCGTTTAATTGTCCAGTAATTTGCATTTTAGGTCATCTTTTTTCAGCTATCATTTATTATATGTAGTTAAATGAGATTAAATTGAATTACATACTTAGCCAAAAAAGGTGTGTTCATATAAGGTTTGCTCCTAAAAGGGACAGTACCTCAGATTAGGCATTAATAATGATGCTTTTTGGTGAAGAATTACTGGTAAAGTTCATCTGACCATCACTTTATTTACATTGATCCTAATCATGATTAGTTTATGTGATACATGTTGTAAAACAAGTGATCTTATTTTATTGCCATAATAATTAATATTGATATGATAATATAACTACTAGGTATATATATCAATATATGAAATATAAAAAAATAGAAGTAAAAATTCAATGTTTTGTTTTAGAGTTAGTTAAAATATGTGATAAACAGATATTCACAAGTTAGTTTCCAATGGTCCCTTATGTATCAGCCCTTCATCTGAATGAGCCCATGAGAGTAAGCCCTTTGGCTGGTACTAGGAGCCCTCCATCTTAATCAGCCGAGGAGATTAAGCCTTCTGGCTGGTACAAGGAGCCCTCAATCTTAATAAGCCAAGAATATAAGGCCCTATACCTGGTACCAGGAGCCCTCCATCTTAATAAGCCAGGAAATTAAGCCTTCTTGCAGGCACTTCTAGGCCTCCTTAATAAGCCAATGATATTAAGCCCTCTGGCTTGTACCAGGAGCCCTTCACCTTAAAATAAGCCTAGGAGATTAAACCCTCTGGTTGGAACCAGAAGCTCCATCTTAATAAGCTCAGGACATTAAGCCCTCTAGCTGTTACCAGGAGCTCTCCATCTTAAAAAGTCAGGCGATTAAACCCTCTGGCTGGCATTCTAGCCCTCCTTAATGAGCCAAGGAGATGAAGCCCTCTAACTGGTACCAAGAGCCCTCCATTTTAATCAGCCATGGAGATTACGCCCTCTGCCTGGGACTAGGTACCATCCATCTTAATGAGCTCAGGAGATTAAGCCCTTTTGCTGGTACCAGGATACTTCCACCTTAATGAGCCCAGGAGATTAGCCCGCTGGCTGGTACTAGGAGTCCACCATCTTAATAAGCCCAGGTGATTAAGCCCTCTAGCTGGTACTACAATCCCTCCATCTTAATGAGCTTAGGAGATTAAGCCCTCTACATGCTCTAGATGGTACCAGGACAGGTCTAGAGAAAGTTATTTAATATTCAGTTATATTTTAAACATGATATAATGTTCCTGAATGTTAACCTAGATTGATAAATATAAATTAAAAATATTAGGTCAATTCCCTACTTACTTTTAAAATTTTCTTGTATATTCATTCACTGAAAGTTAAAGTTTAATTTATAATTTCAATTTCTAAGCAAAATGGTAATAGAATTTTTTTTTTTTTGATTATTATAGAAATAAAGAATATTATGAATTCCAAATCTTGAACCTCATCAATTAAAACAAAACTCAATACTTTATAGACGTGTCTGTGTATACATACATCCAAAATTGTCAAAATGCAATAGAATGTGTGTAAATTAAAAGAAGAGCCCTCTATAAAACTGCTAGTATTTCTTATTGATGCTGTTTTGATGAAGTACTTTTAGTTCCTTTATCCAAAAGCTTTCCAGAACCTGTCGATGGGC